TCTGTGGGTCAAGGTTTGAGTTATGGTGAAGCTGAAGTTTTTTCTCTGTGACTGCATTAACTGAGTATTCACTATGCTTGTAACATCAGAATTCAGAATTAATCAATATGTGGCGAATATGTTTGGTTACTCTCGTTTCTGTGTTTTCTTTTTTATATGAGATAATTGTGTAGCTCGCGGATAGCTCATTGGTCTTCTGAAAGTATGTGTTCGAGTCCATGGTCAGGCCGTTTTCAGTCAGGGTTTAGAAGTGGTTTTGCGACTGGCACAATGTTTTTATTCATTTAATAAAGTGATTTAATTTTGAAATGGACAAGGCAGTATTGATGATACTGTTAGATCTACAAAAGCATTTTGTACAGTTGCATCAACACTATACTGCAATGAAGAGAGTTCTTTTTCTTTCTTGCTTAATGGAAACTTCAAGCATCTGCCATATGTTAATGACATTCTTACATGGTTCAGTTTTATCTCTTGATAGCAGGCTGGTTGATGTGGGCTGGTACTGACCTTACCTACTTTTGCTCTGAGTACCGATGAGTGTCCCCCTGATGTTTTTTAGGTCTTCTTTTATGTCTAATATATGTCAATGACATGTCGTGCAACCCTAAAGCAATAAGCTTTATTATATGCGGTGACAAGTATCAAGACCTGGGAAGTAAAAATAATGATTAGAGTTTTCTTCCCAGGTTCGATACTCGTGCACATGTGATTATATGATGATGACTCAGGTGATCCTTGGGTATCTGGTAAAAAATAAATCTTAAGATTGGTTAATTGACTATAAATTGTCTTTGCATCTTGGCAAGACAGTGTCTATTCTTTTTTGGTTTAGTTTCAACTAAACTGGGCCTAGCCTCCAGGTCACACAAAATGGTCAGCGCTTAAAGTAAACATTTTTGTTAAGTATTAAGGTCAAATTCTTTTGGCGTCGCCTTTGATGCTCTTGTTGCCTTTTTTGAATAATTTCATTTTCTGCGCGAATAAAACATTTTTTCCCTAAAATGAGACTTGGTTTTCCATATGCGTTTCACAGTAAAGCATTTACCATACCAGGTTGTACAATAACTTAATTGGTCCGTAATCAGTCTTTTACAACCAAAGTCTTCTGAACTTCATTCAGAATTCATGTCTCATTATTGTGAGCAAATTCTGAGTTTCCTTTAGCTATAAGCTGAAAATGTTTAATTATCCCCGCCGAAAAGGCGTTGGGGATATAAATTAGTCTTCGTCCGTCCGCCTGTCCTTCCTTCAGTCTGTCCTTCCGTCCTCATTTTAGTCCGGACCATATCTTAAAAAGTATTTGAGGTATCAACTTGAACTTCATAGGTGGATAAATCATATTTAGGAGAAGTGCAGTGCACAACAATGAATGATTCTACCCTACATAATTTTTCAGTTATTGCCTTTGTTACTTTTTTCAAACTCAATTTTTGTCCAGAGCAGTAACTCAAAAAGCCTTTAAGATGGATAGATCTCACTCAGGAGGTGTGCAGTGCAAAAAAGTGATAACTCTACCCTTCATAGTTTTCGAGTAATTGCCTTTTGTATTTTGCATACTTTATTTTCCACCTGAGTGGAGCATAACTAAAAAATATCTTTGAGATGTCAACATGAACTTCATCGATGGATTGATCTTATTGAGGAGGAATGTTGTGCGAAAGAATGATAACTGTACTGATTATAATTTTTTAGTTATTGACATTTGTTATTTTTCATACTTTTGTCCGGAGCATATCTCAAAAAAGTGTTAGAGGTAGATCTTACTCAGGAGGTGATAAACTACCCTTCATACATATATTTTATGAGTTATTGCCCTTGTTATTTTTCATACTAAATTTTTCACCTGAGTGGAGCATATCTCAAAAAGTGTTAGAGGTAACACCTTGAAACTTCATAGGTGGATAGACCTCATTGAGAGGAGTGCTGCACACAAGAGTGATAACCGAGCGTGCATTATTTTTTCAGTTATTGCCCTTTGTTATTTTTCATACTAAATTTTTGTCTGCAGAGTATAACTACAAAAGCCTTTGAGATATCAACATGAAACTTCAATATATAGATAGATCTCACTCAGGGAGGTGTTCAGTGCATAACGGTGATAACTCTACCCTTCATAATTTTGAGTTATTGTCCTTTTTTATTTTTCATACAAAATTTTTCACGCTGAGTGGGGCATATCTCTAAAAAAGCTTTTGAAATGTCATATGAAACTTCATAGGTGGATATATCTTATAAAGGAGGAATGTTGTGCACAAGAATGTTAACTCTACCCTTTATAATTTTTGAGTTATTGACATTTGTTATTTTTCATACTTTTTGTCCGGAGCTTATCTCAAAAGTGTAAGAGGGAATAACTTGAAACTTCATAGGTGAATAGATCTCATTGAGGAGGATTGCAGCCACGCAAGAATGATAACCTACCGTGCATTGTTTTTTCAGTTATTGCCCTTTGTTATTTTTCATACTTAATTTTTGTCCAGAGTATAACTACAAGGCCTTTGAGATATAACATGACCATCATAGGTGGATAGATCTTACTCAGGAGGTGATAACTCTACCCTTCATATTTTTTGAGTTATTGCCCTTTGTTATTTTTTCATACTAAATTTTTCACCTGAGTGGAGCATATTTCTAAAAAAGCTTGTGAAATGTCAACATAAAACTTCATAGGTGGATAAATCTTATTAAGGAGGAAATGTTGTGCACAAAAATGATAACTTTACCCATTATAATTTTTGAGTTATAGCCCTCTGTTATTTTTCATACTTTTTGTCCGGAGCTTATTTCAAAATTGTTAGAGGTTACAACTTCAATAACTACAAAAGCCATTGAAATATCAACATGAAACTTCATAGGTAGATAGATCTCACTCAGGAGGTGTGCAGTGCAAAAGAGTGATGACTCTATCCTTCATAGTTTTTGAGTAATTGCCTTTTGTACTTTTTCATACTTAATTTTTCAACCTGAGTGGAGCATAACTCAAAAGGTCTTTGAGATGTCACATGAAACTTCATTGGTGGATTGATCTGATTGAGGAGGAATGTTTGTGCGCAAGAATGATACCCTTTATAATTTTTGAGTTATTGCCCTTTGTTATTTTTCAAACTTTTTGTCCGGAGCTTATCTCAAACAGTGTTAGAGGTATTAACGTGAACTTCATAGGTGGATAAATCTCATTGAGGAGGGAGTGTGGCACACACCTACCGTGCATTATTTTTCAGGTATTGCCCTTTGTTAATTTTCATACTTAATTTCGTCCAGAGCATAACTACAAAAGCCTTTGAGATATCAACATGAAACTTCATATGTGGATAGATCTCACTCAAGAGGTATGCAGTACACAAGAATGATAAATTATTCTGCTCTACTACATATGCATGGCTCTTGTAACAAGTTACATTACAATACTTAAAAACCTTCTTACAAGTTTAACCTGTCATTATCATGCTATTTGAGATACATTAACTCTATACTTAACTGGTTTTGTTTTTTTTTTTTTTCGCCGTGCATAATTGCTGCTTTCCAGCAATTTTTACTTGTAAACTTATGTTTTACAAGTAGTTTTGATATGTTAAGCATGGGTCTACACGTAGCATTTTAAAGTATACTTTTAGCAACTATTGGTAACTTAGCTTCAATTAGACTTTAAAAGTTAGCTTTTAATATTTTAATATCTCCCTACTGGGACGTCACTATAATGAACGTTAGAACTTGTGTAGAGCGTCAACCAGCAGTTACAATTTGCTTTAATGACGCTATTTTTTTAGAGCACGTTAGCACTTTCGATATATGAATTGGATCCTGCTGCATCCATTTTCTTCGTTTGCATCAGAGGGATCCAGGCTGTTAATCAAGTGATTTAAATAATACCCTTGTTCTGAATGGTATTTATCAGTTATATTAGATTGTTACTAAGGAAGATCTGGGTTTGCAGAGTACTAACTGTAAACGTGATTTTATTCTGTTTATCACGTGACAGGGCAACCAGTGTGTGGAGACTCGACCGGGCGGACAATACGCATACTGTTACATTTTTAAATGGGTGCGGATGGCAGTGACTTAGTTTATTATCGGGGGATATGCTTAAATGTTACGGTTTTTATATGACCTAAAAACAGTTTTTCAAACCTACGTTTGTCTAAATAAAACAGAACAACACTTTACACATGTCTGACTAAAAGTCTAGAAAGTTCGTTAAAATAATGTGTGCTTAAATTAAAAGCGAGCTCGACGAGCTGGCCCGAAGGGCCTGCTCGCAAAGCGAGCTTTACGGTAACGCGAGTACCTGCTAAGTGATGGTTTTGAAAAACTTTCGTCCAAAGTACCGAATTGGACACATCGCAACCTTTCGAATTTAAAGATAACGATAAAAACTGAGGAATTCTGGCTGAAAACGGATGTGCATGTAGACTGGTCACCCGCGCACGTCTATGGGAACCATAATTGGACAGGGAACCAGAATAACGGAAGCTGTGTATAAAAAAATGAAATCGAAGGCGCCATTTTGTTTGAAATCTGATAAATAAAAACAATTTTTTTGTCGAATTTTGTTGTGAAAACTATCTAGAATGAAAGAAAATGGTCTAACTAAGAAAATGAATCCGAACACCAATATCTTTTATTCAGTCGTTAACGCTGTACAGTCGTTTAAAGTATTGTTTACGTGACGTCACAATGTAGCGCCAAACAGCGCGTGCAAAACAAACAAATCGAGTACGCTTTTTTAATGTCGCAAACGTTTTAAGTTTTATATTTATTTCACTTTAAATTATCTTAATTTCGCTTGAAAAATTATAGAGTGAAATAAAATAAAGTTTTATAAACGTTTTCAAAACTCGTTATTCATTTCACGACAGGGGCGGAGCCATATTTAACACAGTACGTGTGACGTCACACGCACTCGTCACTGCATCTGAAATAACTTCATACTATTTCACGTAAAAACTAAAAAAGTACATCGAGCTCGCTTTGAGGCTTTGCCTTTTTCATATTAGTCAAGTAAAGTAAAACCCATATTAATAAATACCCTGGTGCCATGGAACAACCATTGCTTTACTGTTCGGTGTCTTTGTGCGCATATTCCATACCGGATGTCCAGCTATATCCGGTCCAATCAGCTGCTCGATCAGGTGCAGCAAACGCTCATTGCACCATAGATCACGGAATGCCTAAGAAAGAAATAGATTGTGCTGGTTTGAGATTAAATGAGCTAATACATCTGCGTTTCTTTTATCGTCTATTATAGCAATATGTATCGGAAACAGAAGTCAACGATTAACTGAGAGCAAAAGCAATAGTTTGCGCGTATGCACAGCCACTTACTTAGTAAACATATCTAAAGGTCCGTCTATGTAACTCTATATTTTACTTAATTACTTAAAGTTCACGTAAAGTTTTCTAGGCATTCATATTACTTTTTTCTATCTAGTTGTAAGTCTGAAATTGTATTCCGATTTCACCGTAGGCCTATCCTTACACAGTAGATGGATGCGATTATTCATGCCACCCTTCGTCCGTAGACCAGCCGGTTTCCGATCAATAACTTAAGAACACCTTGGCCTAGAAACGCCAAACTTGGTTTTGATGTTGGACATGACCAGTAGATGAACCCTTTTGTTTTTGGGGTCAAAGGTCAAGGACATATTGACTGTTTCACAAACATCTTGTTTGACTGGGTTTTAAGAAAAAGGGATATGTTGCAGCTTTCTAGCATCATTTGGTGGATGAAAACATACACACACTTCAGTGCAATATTTCAAACATTAGACTTTATAAGAACCACTGATCTTTTGTGAGCTTTCTGTCATGAATGAATAAGATACCTTAGTTGAATTCTATACCACAGCCATGAGGGTACACAAAATACAGTAGATCAAAGCTGCTGGCCTCTAAATCCCAGCAATCATTTTGGAAAACATACAAGAACAAGAACTGTTAGTAGGACATCGTGTTCGACTATAATTCTTAGTGCTTCATAATAAAACAATAGCTTGGATGGTTAATAAAGTTCCAAGTTCAAAAGGGCCATAAAGCTGTCAAAATTCGTGTAAGTGTTATGGGCATTGGACAGTGACCTCTTATTATGGTATACTACCAAGAATGTTGTGCAGTTTCAACCCATTAACTTCCGTAGTTCTGGAGATATCAACTTTCACCAAAGTGTGACCCCAACGCAATGGTGAGTACAATAGATTAACAAATCCTTCGAATAGTCGAAATAAAAATGTCTTAGCATAATTTTTTCTTCTCACTTTCTACGAATTTTCTAACGTATATTGCCTCTAGGTCAATCTATGTATATAGACATGTCTATGAACTGAAAATCACGTGTATTAACAGTACTAACCTTTGGTATCTTTTGATGCTTAAAGAGAAGGATGTTCGCTCCGGGAAACTCTTCTTCAAGTTTTGAAAGTCTCTGAAATAACCCATATTCCTTGTACAAGTCTGGAAAGAACAAAAGATGCCCTAATAACCTTTGAACTTTAAAATGTACAAGTAGTAGCGAAATTTATGAACATTTGCGCATTATTTTGCGCAGCCTGAACTTGTGATGGGTTGAAATGAATCTGGTTGAGATTGTACATAGAAACTAGTGAAAGCTTGCTATTGAGTTTTAATGGAGTTAACACCCTTGAAAGAGTGTGGAGAGTTATTACATGCAAGTAAGATCGAGTTCAAGTGAATTCTTACACTTTCAAGAGTATGGAACGCCGTGACTGTCTTATGCTATAAATATTTTTGCTATCTTCCGAAATGATGGTATTATTTTGTCATTTAAGCATATTAACATGTGCAATTTACATCATATCTTGTCTAAAGACAATGCTGACTTGTCCAAACAGCATGTTAACTTGTCAAATAATCATTATGACATGTGCAGGCAACATGGTAACTTGTCAAAGTATCATGATGACTTGTGCAAACGACAATGTTAACTTGTCAAAATAACATGATGACTTGTGCAAACGACATGTTAACTTGTCAAAATGTCATGATGACATGTGCAAACAGCATGTTAACTTGTCGAATTATCGTGATGACATGCTCAAAATACCTAAACAAGTTAACATATGTTTTGCACAAGACATCACGATTCTTTGACAAGTTTCACATGTTGTTTGTACAAGTCATCATGATAATTTGACAAGATAACATGGCATTTGCACAAGTCATCACGATACCTTGACAAGTTAACATGCTGTTTGCACTTGTCATCATGAAATTTTGACAAGTTAACATGTCGCTTTCACAAGTCACCATGATACTTGGACAAGATAGCATGTTGTTTGCACATGTTATCACGATGGTTTGACAAGTTTAACATACTGTTTGCACATGTCATCATGAAATTTTGACAAGTTAACATGGCATTTGCACAAGTAATCATTACACACTTGGACAAGTTAACATGTCGTTTGCACAAGTCATCATGATACTTGGACAAGTTAACATGCTGTATGCACATGTCATAACGATAATTTGACAAGTTAACATGCTGTTTACACATGTCATCATGGAATTTTGACATGTTAGCATGGTATTTGCACAAGTTATCATAATACTTTGACAAGTTAACAGTACGTTTTGACATGTCAGCCTGATACAAGATAACATGTCATTTGCACAAGTCATCACGATTCTTTGACAAGTTCACATGTTGTCTTCACAAGTCATCATGGTAATTTGACATGTTAACATGCTGTTTGCACAAGTCACCATGATACTTTGACAAGTTAACATGCTGTTTGCACATGTCATCACGATAATTCGACAAGTTAACATGTCGTTTGCACAAGTCATCATTATACTTTGACAAGTTAACATGGCGTTTGCACAAGTCATCATGACACTTTGACAAGTTAACATACTGTTTGCACATGTCATCATGAAATTTTGACAAGTTAACATGGCATTTGCACAAGTCATCATTACACTTGGACAAGTTAACATGTCGTTTGCACAAGTCATCATGATACTTGGACAAGTTAACATGCTGTATGCACATGTCATAACGATAATTTGACAAGTTAACATGCTGTTTACACATGTCATCATGGAATTTTGACATGTTAGCATGGTATTTGCACAAGTTATCATAATACTTTGACAAGTTAACAGTACGTTTTGACATGTCAGCCTGATACAAGATAACATGTCATTTGCACAAGTCATCACGATTCTTTGACAAGTTCACATGTTGTCTTCACAAGTCATCATGGTAATTTGACATGTTAACATGCTGTTTGCACAAGTCACCATGATACTTTGACAAGTTAACATGCTGTTTGCACATGTCATCACGATAATTCGACAAGTTAACATGTCGTTTGCACAAGTCATCATTATACTTTGACAAGTTAACATGGCGTTTGCACAAGTCATCACGATTCTTTGACAAGTTAACATGCTGTTTGCACATGTCATCACAATAATTCGACATGTTAACATGTCGTTTGCACAAGTCATCATTACATTTTGACAAGTTACCATGTCATTTGCACAAGTCATCATTATACTTTGACAAGTTAACATGTTGTTTGCACAAGTCATCACGATACTTTGACAAGTTAGGATGTTGTCTGCACATGTCATCATAATCATTTGACAAGTTAAAATGTTGTTTGTACAAGTCAGCATGTTCCTTTGACAAGACATGATGTAAATTGCACATGTTAACACGCTCAAAAGACAAAATAATATCATAGTTTCACAAAATAACAAAAACTTTGATTACATAAGACAGTCACGGCGTTCCATACAAGAGTGTGTGTAAACATGCGTATGGTGGCTGGTTTCTACCATGTCGTGTCTTCGCCAATTAAAATATCGTTATTTCAAAAGCCAATGGTGAGGACTCGATAAGTGAGCATATTATCGTGTCTTCATCTTCGACATTTGAGGGGCGAACACTCGAAGACACGAAATGGCACAAATCAGCCACCATACATGCGCATAGTTATAACAATTGTGAAATGAAAAACATAGTCTTAGCAGCGTAAAAACGACTGTAGACTTACTTTTGATCTTTCCGGCCTCATAAAGCTTATTCGCCAGTAACTCAACCATCTCGTTTATGGCATCACGACAAGGTTGTAGCTCATCCTTACTGAAGAAATTCTCGACAACAATGTAACCCTAAAAAGAGTGTTTACATTTTACTACTTATATCAAGTGCACGGGAAAAGTCCGATTCCTTGTCCTATTAAGAACTTAAGATGCGTCCACTTGACTAGATACAATAGAAAAGCACATTGTTATAACGAACCGCTTTTTAAATGAATATATCATATGTATACATATAATGGAAAGTTACGAACTTAACATACTTAAAAGAACTGTTACTAGCAGGAGGGATTATGGGGTAGGGTCCAATGTGCCGTGACACACACAGTGCATTACATTTTACACATGCCCGACCACCATCATTCTGTAAATTTCCGGAGAAATAAAATCAAAGCGCTGAAAGCACTGATATCCTTTGGAACTCCTTTTAATTCTTAGAAAAGGATATTAGCATCGTCCTGCGATTTGGGTTCTAAATGAAATAATGCGCAAACGTCATAAATGACGTCAAAAGTCATGTCCAAAAATATTATAACTGCGAAAATACACATGTAAATATTTAAGTTTTGTTTACGTGTATGTTTATTATAATGGCCGAAGAGCTAGATATTTTCTTTATTCTTGTATTTTTTAACAATTTGTGATTATTTTTAAATTGATTTAAACTTAATATTTGAAGGTCAGTCAGATACAGTATTCGAAAACGAAAGTAGGATAAATCTCGACATCCACTTTATATCAACAGTGAAAGTGTTTATAGCATGAATATTTCATCACTATAGGCATTGGACTTTTTATCAAATCAATATCTAGAGCTAGCTATATAGTTTTTTATTTAGATCTAATACATAAAAAACCTATGGCTATGCAGAGCTTAATCCTATATCTATATACTGTGTGATACTTCACATGTGAAAAGTAATTTGTTAAATGGCTAAAATGATTAAGAAGTAAAACTGTATGAACTCTCGAAACGAAGCGTTTTAATTTTTTACACTGTTTTAAGCACAATGAATGAGGATATAAATTATTGGTTTTATGTGTCTGCAAAGGATAAACATGTGATAAGCTATCTCAACTGTTACACTTAAATCTGGAACGATATTAAATATTAAAGATAAAAATCTTGAAAAAATATGTTCGGTCCTTTCACATAAAAAACAGTAAAGTCCCTTTAAGACTCGTTTGTTTAAGACATAAGTATGTTACAGTACTGAAATAACTAACTTCTCTTATTATCAGATTATCTTATCTACTAAATATTGATATTTCCGGTTAATAAGATTCGTAGTGTATTAGACTAACGTAAATTAATTTGCATATGGTCATCAATTTGTTTTTAATGATAACAAGAAAAATATTACATACATTCGTATGTAATATAGGTACGATTGCATACTACTTTTTGTGAAGACTTTATGTTTGCTGAATTAGAGGTGTAATGTAAAATGAACAAACATGTCATGAGATATTTTATACCTTTAAACATTTTCATGGAATGTAATTAATGTATCACCATATTAAAGTTGCATGCCTTCAGGTGAGAAAAATGATTTCAAGGAAATCAAAATATGAAAAGAAAATTCACGGTCAATTGACTGCTTTGAAGCATAAACACAAAATAAAATTACAGGAAATTAAAAAAAAACCTTTTTAATACACTTAAGGTAGAATTTCATTGTAAATCATAGTCAAAGATTTGAGATATGATTATTTATTCATATTAACCTCATTATTGGTTATATATATTGATAAAAAAACCCGAAAGACACAGTTTGTAAAATTTATTACAATCAAATATGAAAAAGGTATACGCGCCGAGGTTAGCTATAATTAAAATTCCCGCGCTAAGTCGCGGTGGTGCTTGGGATTATCACTTGATACTGTAAATGGCAGCCATTTTACGATACGAATCCTCGAAAAGTTTATTCTGCCGAAAAGATATGAAAAAATACTTGCAATTCAAAGTTTGCTGGCTACATAAAGATTATCGATTTACTCTTTGCACACTTTTTCTCTGCCTGAGTATAATAATATTGACGTGTTTTCATTGGCTTAAACCATCACGTTACCAATACACATGTAGGTGTGAACTAATTTCGTGTTCATTAAAATCATTCCGTTAATAGACATATAACAATCTTATTTACAAATGAATTGATAAAACAACAATCCCAGAAGCATTTAAGATAATAACAATCATTGGAAAAAAATAAATGCATATAAATTGTAAATTTGTGTATGACAACTCAACCCCCTAAACAAAACATAATAGACTCAACCAAAACAAGCGCCTGCTTCTTCACCTAACTATGTAGTTGCATGACCATGATTAGCAATTTAGCAAACCAAATCTAAGAGATAAACCTATTGTAAAAATAATACTATGACCACAGCAGATTTCGTACAGAAAATTGATAGTTCTAGAATCTACGTGATGATCAATGAATTCTATTTTCAGTTGAATACTACATTGTTATCATATATTCATTTTCGCTATTATTAAACAAGCAGTGACTTTTTTCAAGGCAGAACAAAAATAAGTATGTACTTGCTTTGTTATTTGGAGAGTAATGACTGGTCAGAACGGAGTCATATAGTATTTGATTCAAATTCCTGTTAAGTTCATTTGAATACACATATTTTTGACGCAAACGTGTATCAACGTGCACCGGTCTGAAGCAAACCAAATTTATTTCATATTAATTTATTTTGTTTTACTTTCAAAAATAAAATCGGAACAAAGAAATATATATCACCAGGAAGAAAATCAGTTAATTAATACAAGGCGATCAATGCTCGGTTAAAACAAGAGAAGACAAGTGCGAGCATGCGCGGTGATAACAGGTGTGAGCATGCACGGTGAAGACAAGTGAGAGCATGTGCGGTGAAGACAAGTGCGAGCATGTGCGGTGATAACAGGTGTGAGCATGCGCGGTGAACACAAGAGCTAGCATGTGCGGTGAAGACAAGTGCGAGCATGCGCGGTGATGACAGGTGCGATCATGCGCGGTGATTACAGGTGTGAGCATTCGCGGTGAACACAAGAGCGAGAATGTGCGGTGAACACAAGTGCGAGCATGCGCGGTGAAGACAAGTGTGAGCATGTGTGGTGAAGACAAGTGCGAGCATGCGCGGTGATGACCGTTGCGATCATGCGCAGTGAACACATGTGCGAGCATGTTCAGTGAAGACAAGTGCGAGCATGCGCGGTGAAGACAAGTGTGAGCATGTGCGGTGAAAACAAGTGCGAGCATGTGCGGTGATGACAGGTGCGAGCATGTGCGGTGAAGCCAAGTGCGAGCATGCGCAAAACAATTTTTTTTTATAAAAATGAAACTCGATCGAGACAATACGTGGATGCATTTCAGTGGAATCGCAATACCGCTAAGGCATCTCTGTCAGTAAAAGGCCCAGTTTGCCTCAGAAATGCTATAATTTGTATTTCTCAAAATCTTTTCATTTTTGGTATCTTGTTACAGTTTGCAAAATTAAAATCATTTGCCATATAGAAGAACCGCACATGCTCGCACTTGTCTTCACCGCACATGCTCACATATATTAAATGTACATGTATAGCTGAATCTTAAACGAGTCTTTGTTAGTTTTACTCCGATGATTAAATCACAACAAAATGTTTTTTTGTTAAATGATATGAAAGAAATTGTCCTTTTCTAGCTTGCAAAAGATTTCTGTTTTTTTGTTGTTTTTTTCTGTTTTCTTTTCTTCTTCTTCTTCTTGTGTGTATGCAAATAATGCTTAAAATTTACTTGCAGCGATTTACTTATTTTCATTAGCATGCTTAAATTTACTTGTTATATTGAAAGAAGTCACGCTCGGTGTTTATTGGATTCCGGCTGCGAGTGTATAGACGTACCAGTTGACGTAGAGGCTCTCACATAGCTCAGTCGGTATGAGCGCGAGATTTGTAATCTCGACAGTCTGGGTTCGATTACAGGGCTAGCCAATAAAAATTTATAATCAGTGACTCGGATGAGACTTTAAATCGAGGTCCCGTGTATGACTACTAAACACTTGGCACGCTAAAAAGGAGAAGCTTCTGTGATTGGGGCATATTTCTGTATCTATATCTTGCACTATCCTCCAAAATTTAAAATGACTAATACACTTCTGGAGGATTCGCCCATATGGGCAACTGATGGCGAGTATAAATAACTCTCACACACGCGCGCGCTTGGTCAGCTTGAAAATGTGGCCAGCAAATCGTCGAAAACTAATTTGGCTGTCCGTTTTTCGCGATGGGCAAAGGAATGGGAAGTTGTTCTTGGATGGAACATTTAAAACAGTGAAAGGAATAAGGTATAATCAGATATAAAATACAGATACTGTTTTAATAATAATAACAATAATACTTATACTTAAATAGTAATAATGATATTATAAAAAATAATAATAGAAATTATAATTATAAGAAATATATATTAACGATATAAATTCTAATAACTGAATTAAATGTTATGATTTAATCATTTTAACTTTCAAAATGAAACATATATTGTTAGCAAGGCAGAAATTAGATAATGAGTTTGCTTTTATACAGAATTTATTTTAGTTTGATTGTGTAGGAAGCTTTAATCTTATAGACACACTTTCGACTCCGTTCCTGGAACCAACCAGTACTGAGCAATGTGTGTAAAGTGTCTTGCTCACGTAAACAACGACTTGCCCCTGTCGGGGTTTGAACCCGTGCGGCTAGCAATCATTAGAATACTAGTACAAGGTGTTTAACCACTCGACCATGCCGCCACTTTTCTTTTCAGGAAATATCAGTACTTCCGGTTTACTGCAGACGAACCAGGTATTGTTACCGAGCGGATTTCATATGATAACCAAAATGAGGAAAAAATTTGCAACTTTTAGAACCGATTCTAGCGTTTTGAAGCGGCTGTCAGACCAGAACAGATTCAATCAAAAGAGCTCAGTCAACGGCGGCAAACCTACCTGTACAACTCCGTACGTCCATATGTCAGACCAGCATATAGAGACGAGTTTTGTAGTGTAAACATTGACGCAAATGTTAAAATAGAGAAATATAATGTTTTGATTGATAAAACTTAATACATTGTTTATGAATCTTATTTTCAGACCGTATATACATTAAGTAAACATTTTGAAAAAATGTTACAATTTCAGAAAAAAATCTGCTTGGCCATGATAATGACATCATATAAAATGTACCACTACCTTAACACTTACTTGTACTTCATTTCAAGTTAATAATAATAATATATATTTCCCTCTCGTGCATTTGAACACAACTTTATGCTAGAAAAGTTGATTAACGGAAAACAAGGATGTCGATTTAGCGACAACAATATCGACAAGAAGTTTTAAAATGACGTTGTAAAATAAGTTGTATTGAAAAAAAAAATTATCTTAGATATATGAATTATATCGTAAGAAAGTGTATTTCTTTAGCTTTAATTTGATATGAAAGTCTCAAAATCGATACAAATGCCATTAAGACCCATTTTCGCAAGACTTTGCCCTTATATATTTAGGTATTTTAACTATAACTGAAGTAGAAAAAATAAATTAAAGTAAATGTTGTAAATTTCTGTTGTTTTAACTACCATCGCTGAACTATATCACGTTTTGACAAATAACACATGATGTTAAACATTGGGGAAAAAAAGGTTGAGACTATTTCTTGCAGGCGGAAGACTACAGCTTTGTGTTAGGTCTTCGGTTTGGATTACAAAAGTAGTTCCCGACAGATTGTTCAAAACTGTTCGCATTTTTGTTGGTCGTACCGATATACATAAATTTTGTAACAATTAAAAAAATAACACACAATTAATATACTGTAACTAAACTTATGTTAAGTTTGATCTAGGCTCAAGTTTATTGTATGAAACCTTAAACGTCCATGCTAAAATATGCATAAGCATAGATTGTACATTCAGATGTGAAGTCTGCATTATTTAGCATGTCAGCGAATAAATCAAGTAACCCTACTGATAAGTGTGGGGCACAATAACGGATATATAGAAAATACCATGCTAGTGTCTGATATTACAAAATTTATCAGGCTAAGCTAAGAAAAAAACAAGAGCTGTCGGTAGGACAGCAACGCTCGACTATTCTTAGTGCTTTATAGTAAAAAACCTTGATAATGTAAAATTTTCTAAGTAAAGAAAAGGGTTTTTTTTTTCTTTAAATCCATATTACACACATAGGCCTTGGAGAGAGTCATATTATGCTCTAAAAGAAGAGTATAAAATTTCAACTTGTTTCAAAGCCATATGCCAATGGACTTTGAAAATATTTTAGGTATAACAAAAACTTTAATATAAATTCTAAGTCGAAAAAGAAGCATAATTCTGTCAAAATGCTTGATACAGTTACCTACCCCTGTCTACAGGTTGGGGTTATGATGGTGAACAAGTGTGCAAAGTTTCGAAGCCATATGTAAATGGACTTTGAAAGTATTTGAGGTATTACAAAAACTTTAGCGTAAATTCTAAGTCGAAGAAGGGGCAAAATTCTGTCAAAATGCTTGATGCAGTTACCTCCCCCTGTCTACAGGTTGAGGTCATGATGGTGAACAAGTGTGCAAAGTTTCGAAGCCATATGTCAGTGGACTTTGAAAAATTTGAGGTATTACTTAAAATTTAACATAAATTCGACGCTCGGCTGACTACAATAGCTCTACTTATTCTTATCGAATAGTCGAGCTAAAAAGGAGAGGCTCTACCGAGCCCTTCATTTTATTTTTCGGGCCAAACCTGATAAATTTTATGATATCAGACACTTGTTTGGTATTCTATTTATCTTGTTTGCATTTTAATATACGTTTATTTCTTTGAATTTCAAATAAAACAAAACCCCTCAAGCACCTCTCGACTTCATGCCGCGCGTAGTAATATGCCAACTTTAAGAAATAGTTCCAAATATTTTACTCAAATGTAAGATTGACAAAATCTGTTCGATTCAACGTTGATCAGTTTAATATTTTCCAACTATATCGTAAGAGGAAAAAATATTGCATTCTCTTCATTTTATTACAGTATGTATTGATGAGGTGTCTGATAAAGCTGAGCTAAATTTCTAAGCACTTTATCAACCGAAATCAATGTTATGACTGAAAAGAAGAAAAAAATGTCACTATAACGTCACATTACGTAATCATACGGCTGTGCCGTTACGTATTCATCAAACATGCTGTTTTATACTGAATAAATGCATTTAATATACATGTAGTTTAATATCAAATATGTCCTGTACTTGTAAAAGCTTGCTACAGGCTCACTACGTACTTAACGCTAAACATTCAAAGAAGTCAACATGAAACTTGTGAAAAAAATCAAAAGTTAAAGATATATAAAAAGAAAGTCTAAGCAGGAAAACTGAACACAATATAAAAAAAATATTTTCATTAATTTAGACTTTAAAATGCTAATACGTGTGATGTAGAGGCATAATTATGTACATAGGTTTTAGAACGAGTCTGATTTAAGTACGGAGGGGGCGTAGCCATGTAGGTAAAAATAAAAACACCTTCCCTGTCGTCACAATATGAAACCCTAGAAAAAGTAACCAATGTACGAGCATCTGAATATAACTTTTCTACGGTGTTCCGGTGATTTAATATAAAAATCTACGGTGTTCCGTTAGGACAAACGCGTTTTCTCTACGAACGAAAAGCGCGAAACATATGACAGTACGAAGGTGACCAGCACAACAGCACGATGATGACAGTCCGTCGTTCTGACGTTATCTCTTTCACTTACGAAACGCAAGAAAAACGTAACCAATCAACAGGCATGCTATATAGTTATATCCCCCACAGACAGTACGGTAACTGGAGTGCAGTAACTAAAGGCCTACCGCACTGTAAATTTATGGGCTATGCGATTTAACTGAAATTAAATCTGACACATTTTTAAAAAAAAAGATACAGTAGTGCTCTCTGCAAACAGTTATCTGCAACAATTCATCACATATATAATCTCCGCATGTACCTCTAGATAGCGAACAATATCTACACGATAATATTAAAGTATTAAATGTAGGTTAAAAATTGTTACCTCTTCGAAAAATTGTTTGATTTGCTCTAACGGGAGCTGTCCTGGTTTTTTCTCCGTTGGTTGAGGCGGGATTTTGGTATAAGGCTCGGGATAACAGTCCGATAATCCATCATTTTTGTCCGATCTACGGGACGACATACTCCTACTTATCTGCACTCTAATCTTAAAATTGACATATGACCCGCTATATTGTAAACAAAGTAAGAGGCTCATTGAGGACGAAAATGTGGAGGAAAAACAAAATAATCCGCTTTTTTAAATTATTTTATCAAATTATACTTTTGAGTAAAGCCATGGTCCTTCTGTTAGGTAAGCTTGGGAGATTTCTCTATATATCTTATGCTTAGCAGAATTTAAGCCAAAAGCTGTCGGTAAGGAAGTAGAATAAAAACCACGGAGGAAGAATTTGTTAGCCTACAATGGTGCTTGGCAATACTAAGCTGTGATTGATATCTGCTCTGTACCACAGATTTAGTTGTTGGGCCTGTAGTTACAGGATTTGTTTGGCCTCATTGATCTTCTCATTTGTGTAATTAATAGAGGTGGCAAACTTTATGCCTCCAGATGAGCCAAAATATTTTAAGAAAATCAAACTTGAAAATAAAAAAGAAAAATAAAAAGATTCTTGACATAATAATGTACATGTTATGTGCACTAAATGTCGAATTTTTGCAGTATTTATCACCATATTTTTAATGCTTAACTTATACAGTAATGTTAATTTTTTCATATTTTGACACTTTTTGTAATTTATGCGGATTTTAAGTGCCGTTTGCAATGTGAACACCTCACAATATTTAACTTTTAAATGCATTTTAAAATTTTCCAACACAGAGATCATGGGATCGAGCCCTAATCGGATCACGACCATGTTTCTTCAAAGGACACTAGTACTGGTTGGGTCCAGGAAGCGGACACGAAAGTGATTAATATAAGTTGCAAGAACTTGTTTCGCAATCGAGATTCCGCAATCGCACGCCAAAATTTCCATGAAAAATTGGCATCAATCTGGAGGCATGCTGCTTTTACACTTGTACTGTGCTAGTGATAGTTTGGATTACAGCTTTTCTACGATCAACATTTCCACAGCGACAAGACTTTTACATAATGGCTATCGGTGGCCAATGCATTTCCAAAATCCTCGGATGACCATCTTCCAAGAGCCATCAAACGCGGAAGACATACTGAACAGATTAACATGATTGCATAACATTTGAAACAATTAAATCTAGTTATATTAACTTCTGGTTTTCTCACAAAATAGTGCTGCTGTGCAGGCATGAACCTGTACTGGTGTCAATTTGGCATATTTATTCTAGGCTTAATGAGAGTCCATCCGCCCCTTCAGACACGGAGTGTACGGACCCCAAATTTTTCAACAATATTTCAATTATATAGATTCTGCACGATAGGCGGTAACGTCTTCTACAAATAATACATAAATCCTGTTACAATAATAAGTGACACAGTGCAATTATGAACGTATTGTATGGAAGTTTCAAATACTCTTAACTGCAACTTTTTCACGCCCGGCAAACTGGCGCTGCACTACAAAATTGTGGTGTACGGAAAAGTGAGGGAACGGCACTTCCGAGGTAGAGCGGAAGGCCGATTTTAACGGCTAACTGTAAGTCTTGTTTACGTATTAATCTTAATTCATTTAAGTTGACAATTCGATCAATGCAATTCCTTGTAGGATTGAGCCTGTCGTTGCACTACTGTCGGAAAATATCGTTATACAAAGTTAAGAAAACTCCCAGGAGTAAGTTATGTTGCATGTAGGACAAATTGTTAATATGTGTAGAATTTTTTCCAATACACTTATTCAAGAAAATCAGAATGGTACAGCATTTCAATGGTTGGAAGTTCAATGTTCAACAAATCTTTGAACATCGTCTTTCACTATCTCAGGGGAAAAAGTTCTCCAAAGCTTAATTTTCTTTTCGTAGCGCTCAAATCATTGAAACTTAATCGATTTTTTCAACATAATAAAATGCTCTTTCATAATAGCTAATCTAATACAGTAACACCGTTAACATCAGGCCAACATTGTACCACAAAGCGGATCATGTCGCTTTATCAGCAAAACATCAGACAACTGTAACCAGGCACACCCTTCAACAGAAGGCATTTTAGCCGTAAGATATCATCGCAGAAGCATTTTCCGGTGGTTTAATCACAGAAAATAAATAGAAAATAAAGTTCTCGTTACTCTTCCGTGGAGAAAACGCGGTAACAACTGACAGATAAATATTCTTTCAGGGAAGCGGAGGAACCGCGTTTACAATTAACTTACAATTAACGGATGGAAAGTGGTTCACTGTCGCCGTTACAATCAGTGAGTAAATGGTAATCATCATTAAATGGGGGTAAAGGTAATATAAATAACAAAGAAAACCGTTTTTATTTCACAGTAAAATTGATCACAAAAGTTTTTAATCATAATTCATAATTACACAACATGTAAAAAGTAAAAGTGAGCAGAAGAATGATGCCACAATGATGATTTGTTTAAAACATGAAATTTAAAAACATGACTTTTTAAAATTTTTAATAATAATATAATAAATTAATTTAAAGAGCTAGATAAATAAAACTACTGCTATTGGGATTTCCGTGACGTCACTTTTCGCTGTCTGTTTCTGAAAATGGAATAAAAAGAAAATATTCTATATCATTTGTACAATGTTGAAGTATCTAAGAACTATCATGGTGTAAATCTTAATTATTTATTATCATTAATCCCAAAGATTAGTTTATAAACAAAACACAAATAAAAGATAGGTTCTTCATCAAAAATATGCAAAACAAGGGAGATAATACATGTGAAAATGCCGCCGATATAATTCCCTTGAAGTCAGACTTGTACTGTTTTATGTTGTCACATGCCATATGGGCCCTGACGTATTCAAATAAACCTTGAAACCTTGTTCAGAGTTACCTCCTTTGACAAAAGCATATATCGCAATATTGATAACAACAACAAAATCTGTAATAACTTCGCAGTTGGTCTCTTTTCACAAACACTGTAAAGATCATATGACAACTTTCCAGATGTACTGGTGGAGGAAGACCTCAGGAATGGTGCCCCTCTGTGCATTTTTTCAGGCACAAACAGGCACTGGAGTAGAACCACTAATGTTCTGATAGCTTCCTCACATAAAAAGAATCCAAAGACTTCAGCAGGATTCGAACCCACATCAGTGACGGGCAAATGGTTTGAAGTCAAACAACCTTTACCTCTTAGTCAGGGATGTACCCAAATGCCGAAGTACAAAGGCACAGGTCCGATACAAATCTGGTTAAAAGAACCGTTACAAGCAAATGTGGTAAAGACATTAGATATTATTTGTACCAGCAACTTACCTCGCTTCTGAACGTGTTGATGTATATTCAAACCAGAATACATGTGGTATTAATGTGGAATCCCGTACCATTAAAAGCTCACCTAAAGGACTGGAAAATGAAGGAAAAATTATAAATTAATCACATGTAACGCTAGAAGTTACTGTACATAACGAATTCTAAGACTTCATAATGTAAACAATACGAAAATAATCATCATTTATAATTTTCTCCTTTTTTTTCAAAATATCCAGTTGTTGTTTTTTTAATAAGAAAAACAAGTTATTTATGTTTTATCTACGATAAGTTCCAGAGTAATAAAATCATTCTTTTTGGTGTACGTTTTACACCATACTGACACTTAAAACATCATAGGGCGACTTTCCATCCTTACTGTTGGAAAGTTTGCTAGTTTTCTGTTGTTGTTGGATACTTCACAAGGTCATACTACAACTTTCCAGCTTTACTGTAGGAGAAAGACGTCAGGTGCATCTTTGGGCATAAGTCTAGTCACCAGCAGTCACCCAAGTAGAACCAACAACCTTCCATAAGCTTGCTGGATATCTTCTTCACAAGAAGGAATCAAAAGTCCCTGATGGGATTCGAACCCCACAGTTACTGTGGGGGACAAGCGATTTCAAGTCTGCAACCTTAACCCATCTGCCATGAAGGCCTGCTGAAGGAAGTGATTAGACACTCCTCCATGTATATTTTCAGCACTTTATGCAAGCAACCAAGTACAATCTTGTGTAAGTCATATTGCATCCTCATACATAAGCATCTAAGGTGCCATGCAGGATTCGAACCCACAGAGTCCAGGACCAAATGATTCAACTACTTATTGACCAACATCCAATGATCAAAAATTCAGACAAAGAAAGAGAGGGGGAGGGGTATTTAATTGTGAAGATTTGTTAAAAATGAAGATTTCATTTACCATGATGCTATATACGGGAAGAAGGGAGTTAACACAACTTGCACAGCAGTAAACCAGATGGTGCCTAACAGAACACCTATCACACTTCCCCATAACACCTGACTTCCTGTGTGATACCCCAAGTATATCCTGAAAATACATCAAAGAAACATCTACAGGCTGTCCAGCACCTTCTGACAGAAAATTAGGGCAAATTTTAGGGCAATTTTTAAGAAATTTTAGGGCTAAAATTAGGAATTTTAGGGTAGGTAAAAGAAATTTCAGGGCCAAAATTTGGAATTTTATAACTAACTTATCATGGCCCCAAAAGACCATGATATGGGCTCAACTTTGCATATTTGACACAAAAGTAAGTAACTCACAAATAATGCTCTAGTTCAGTTATAACAAAGGTGTCTACCAGTGTTCGATAGTCACCAGTGAATAAATGGATTCATTGGTCAACTGCCTTTAACTGCCTACTATGAATAAGAGCTGAAAAACTTAACTACATTAAAACATAACTAGAATGAAAACATGTTTAAAGTTATGAGTATCCCGGAATAACCAATATTCAATTAGTTAAGCTGTTATTTGCCAATAGTATTAAAATGGAAGGAGAAATTATGCTTTAAATTTATTCTAGCTATAAATGGCTTATGCATAAAAAAATTATCAACATTTATTCATTTAAAGGTTGGTACATTTTGAACAAGTCTTGATCTTTCTAAAAAACAATAAAACGATATAACCCACTCAGGTCATTCCAGGAATATTTTAACCTAAATTCAAACAGCAGGGTATTCACCACTGAGATAAATCAGGGCTACTAAAAATTGTAGAAAATTTCACAACAGAGTCAATATATTCAATGATTTTTAACAGTTTTATTTCCAGATTAAAAAAAACATACACTAAACATATTTACAGTACATTGCATTGGTATGACTAATGTTAATGTGTGTACAAAAAGGGCAGCTGAAGGTGTCACTTCTTAGTACGCTAATTGGGGTGCAAAATGGTAAAAGCATGCAATCATTACAGCCAGTTTACCTTACCAACTTTATAATATTACCAAATATGAAAACTTGTCTAGATCTGCCAGCTGGTATCACTAACAAAAGATCTATTCTACAGTCATTACTTGAAAATAACTTGATTACAAATCAAGATTTTATTAAAAAGGTCCCCTACATAAAGTCTGATGAAATTTAGTGGTACCTTTAAATACACCTAAGACTGAGGTAAATGGTAAAACTCTGTAGCAAATAAAAAATATAACTTGCTTGGAATTTTTTTATCTCTATTTGAAACAAGTGACTATTTTGATATAGTCAAAGTCAGACAATTTTCATTGTTTCATTTAAAACAAACAGTTTCTTATTGTTTTTCTGATAACATCTGGCAATAAATCAAGTATGGCATTTCTGCAGGAGTTGAAGTAAATACAACTTGTGACTATATGCAATTTAGTCAGACATGACATCAGCGCCACTGACTGTGTTAAAATTCAAGTTTTGACTGAAAAATGGTTGTTTTGGGATATGTTATAACAAAAGATAAAAAAAATAGGAATTTCAATGAAAAAATAGGGCATTTTTAGGAATTCCCTTTGAATTTTTCATTTTTTTAGGAATTTTAGCCAAACTGAAAAAAATTAGGATTTTTTAGGAATTTTAGGGACGCTAGACAGCCTGCATCTACAATACTAGTTCTGTTTATATGAATATGATATGTTCTTGCTTGTTAGTATGGATTATTTTTAAGAGTTTACTCCAATGCTAAAAAATCTCATTTTAGGCCCCGCCACAAAGTATAAATATACATACTGCACAACCTCCGCATAACAGCACCCCTTAGGGGACAAAGATTTCCAGTAATTGCTGGGAGGTGTTGCTACAGAGAGGCTAAATCCTGTAAGAATCTTACACTGGCTGCCGGTACAAACCGGAATATCTAGCTTGAGGATAACTGTTTTCAGTGGTAACAAGGCTCTGCTAATCAGTAACCCAAGAGCTAAATATTCCTGACTTTACTGACAGCTGGTGTTTGATTCTTTTTCTTGCATATTACATATCAATCAGTTTTCAGATCATAAATTACGAAAACTGATGTTCTCATTACACACTTTTTTCTTATAGTAGTGTATGAACTTACAACTTCATTCATGAAGATAAAATAACGTCATCCCAAGAACGCAATTCATTCAATAATGGGGGGGGGGGGGGGTGTGTTGGACAGGTTTTTCTAGCACCGTTGTAAACAGTAGATAATCCTGTCTGATATGCAAGAAAATATGAGGTCTTACTTGGAGAAAAATTGCAGCTGTTGTTGTAAAGAAAATATTGGTATATAAGGATGCGCTATGTAGAGGTTTTACTGTAAACTATCTAAAATATGGTAAAATGGTAGAAAGAAACTTCAAGTCTTTATCATACCTGGCATAGCCTACGAGTCCTGCTACCGTAAGACTTCCAAAAGCTGCAGCATATTTCCATAAGTCATCTATCAGGTTATAATTTTTATACACCCTGAAATACATTTCAATATGATATTTACCAGTACCACACTTCAAATATCCTAAACTGACTTGACCATCTTTAATCTGGACAAAACCATTCATCATTTTTTAAGGAAAATTTCATTATTTATACTGACTGAATAGAAAAGAGCGCAGGCCATGATCAAATGGCCTATTCAGATTGACCTGATCACATAGGAATGTTCAATTGCCACTAGTAGGTAAAAAGTTAATGCATCTGTAATAAAACTATTGTGATTGTATTAAGAAATAGAAGATATTGAATGAGTGTAAGTTCAATACTGAGTTTATTGCACGAGTTGAATAAAATTATATTATGCGAGCCTCTGGCGAGCAAAATATTATTTTATTCAAAGAGTGCCATAAATTCAGTAATTAACTTACACGAATTTAATATTCTATTTATCACATACCCAAAATAAAGACCGTTTAAAGTGAAATAAGAGTCATTTTTCATTGACGCGCCTATAGTATAACGCTAACATTTAGCGCGTCTTTACACTATGTTTGTATAACGCTAATGAAGTCACGTCAAAATATATGCACGGCTGTGCAATACCATATTTACGGAGTCGCAAAATCGGCACGGGTGTGTGATAAAATATCAAACTACATCATAATAATGTAGCATTGCTTATTTTTATATGATCAACAATAATATCCCATAATTTTACTTGAAATGTTTAAATGTGAGTAACCACATACATATAAGTTGCTTTATTTACTGTATAAATATGAAAAATATCATATAACTTTAATTATGAGTTGCCTAACTTACCATATAAATAAGAATAATATACAGTTATTTAATATGTGATTTGGGAACAGTCAAACTATTGGCCAGAGTTGGAGAGGGTAGTGTTTTGAACTGTTGCCTAAGGCCGTAGGCCGAGGGACAACTGTTTGACTGTTTCCAAATCACGTATGAAAATAAAAACTGTTTTATTACCTGATCAACTACTGCTTTAATAGTACTTACAGAAAAAAAAGTTGCTTAATTTACCTATAAATATGAAAAATATTAAATTAGTTGCCTAACTTACCGTATAAATAAGAATAATATCATATAAGTTGCAAAGAAAAACATGAACTGTGCATGACTAGATGGCATTCCATATTCTGTGAACAGCACTGTTATTTCTGTAATTATATATTGTGAACAAGTATAAATATGTAAAAAAATACTGTGAACAAGTCTTTATCTGTAATAAAATACTGTGAACAAGTCTATATCTGTAATAAAATACTGTGAACAAGTCTATATCTGTAATAAAATACTGCGAACAAGTCTATATCTGTAATGAAATACTGTGAACAAGTCCTATATCTGTAATAAAATACTGTGAACAAGTCTATATCTGTAATAAAATACTGTGAATAAGTATATACCTATAATAAAATACTGTGAACAAGTCCTATATCTGTAATAAAATACTGTGAACAAGTCTATATCTGTAATAATATACCGTGAACAAGACTATATTTGTTATAAAATACTGTGAACAAGTCTGTCATGAAATCTGTAATAAAATACTGTAATAATGTCTATTACAATATAATATAAACAAGTCGATTACTGCTTCAATAATATAAAGTGAACAAGCCATAGTATATTGTGACCTTAACAGAATTTCCAACATTTTTTTATTGAAAACAAAAGTGTATTCCCTACACAAACATTTAAATTGTTTATAAGTTTAAGAAATCAATCGCTTTAACAACCTTCTCCACTTATTGGGCAAGGCCAGTGGTATACTATAACCCTCTAAAATAAAGGAACAAATCCCATTTTTTATAATTGAGTTATCATTGAGTATACTATTTTAAAATATCAAAATTTATCAGTACCCAAGTACAATCTAAAGGAATTTTGTCGCTTATCGATAAGACCACATTCCAAAACCAAAATTATCTCATCTTTTTCCCCAGTCTTAAAAAATGTATTCCTAACAGTTGCCAAAAAAAACTGGACTGTCTCATCTTCTAAGACAAATTTAAAAGTTTTGTCTTGACAAGTTATATAATCATTCACATGCTAAAATCTCAATAACCATGTGTAAAGGTAGTTTATCAATTTCCCAAATAGCCTTATAGTTTTTCCCGATTAATGCCAAGAGTCTTTGCCCAAAAATAGCTGTATAAAGTCTTATTTTCACTAACCTCGGGTGTAACAAACTTAAAAGCAACACCAGGGGCACATGCTGGAGCTAAGAAATGCATAGACTTCAGTTAATTACACCTATTTAGTAGCATCTTACAACTATGTGTGGATAAAGTTGGCTGTAATTCTTATGCCTCAAGCACTTGATGCAACTTTCAGTCAATAGGGACAGATAGAATGATAAAAGCAAAGTAGTAAAAAGGGGCACAATTCTGCAGAACTGTTTTGCAGAATGACATGCCCTTGATATTTAACAAGTGTTTCAAATTTGAAGTGAGTACTTGTTAAGGTTTTTTTGTGAAAATGAGGAAAAATGATGAAGTAAGAATGATTTTCAGTTTATCTGCCCTTAATATATGCATTTGAGCCACGTCACGACAAAACCAACATAATGGGTTTGCGACCAGCATGGATCCAGACCAGCCTGCGCATCCGCTCAGTCTGATTAGGATCCACGCTGTTCGCTATCAGTTTCTTTACTTGTAATAGGGTTGGTAAGCGAACCGCATGGATCCTGAACAGAATGCGCGGATGCGCAAGCTGGTCTGGATCCATGCTGGTCCCAAACCCATAATGCTGGTTTTGTCATGGCGCGGCTCATTTCAATTAAATAGTGAACAAGCATTCCAAGTTTAAAGGAGCTCATCTGAAAATTAGAACTTCTTACATTGATCCAGTGAAGTGCTTAAAATCGAAAACTCTGCAATGAATAATAAAGAAATATGATCAGAATTTAATTTAGTACTGATTATTTGTGTAATCCTTTATAATAGCCTAACTTGAGTGAAATGCATTACAACGATTTTCATTTTTTGGGTCATTTGCACAAATAAAATGATAATTTTAGGAAAAACAGGGTAAAGAAATGGACTGAAAATTATTGATCCAGACCTACATCAAATATTATATGAATCACGACACAGAAAAAATATTTCCAACCCTCTTATGTAAAAAAAACAAACTTAGTTGCGTCCCTTTAAAGACTTAGAGTATATCTTTGATATTTTTTCATGAATAAACCTTAACAAAAAATACACCAGTAAGTCAAAAAGGGGCATAATTTTGCATGTTTAATTTTAGGATTATCTGCCCCTGTGATACGCCAACACATTTTGACAAAAGTAAAAGTACACCAAATTTGGCATAAATAGCTTTGATAGTTTCTGAGAAAACAGAATCTTAAACCATTAACCTATTATAGATCCCAGTCATTGACCTTAACCTTTGACCTGAAAACATGGTGTGTAAGGTAGAACGCATCCATATAATATCATTATGAGTATTATAGTTATTATTCATAAAAGAAAAACTTAAGACCATCGGCGAAAAACTTAACCAAAGAGTTTAAGTTAACCAATTCTGATGCCAACGCCAACTGGTGAGTCATTGATGCATGTCAATGATATAATACCATGAAGCTAAAACTAAAGTAAGTTATTTCAATATAAGGGAAAAGTGGAAATATTTTGATCCAATCATAAAAGATCAGCTTACGATAATAATATAATGTCACTGACAACAAAGAGATTAATTAATATTTTTTTGTTTCATTATACTAATGGTCTAAGTAATGGATTAAAGACAAACCTCTTGGGGGCCTGTGTTCTCTAATTGTATGTTTTAGGATCCAGTTACAAGCTTCGTTCAGCAGTATACCACAGAAATACGAGATCTGTAATAATAAAATTCAATAGTGTAAAGTTTAAAGCAACACGTCTCCAGATTCATGAACATTTTTGATAATGTATTTGAATGGGTAATACTGTGAAGCAATTTACACGTTATCAAAGGCACTTACAAACCACGTAAATTACCAAAAAGTGATCAAAATATGCATTTATAACCTTTACTGCATTCAGTAAAACAGTAGAAATATAGTTGTAAATACTGAAAAATCAGTCATTAATCGCACATAATACGTATAATATTACATGAATCTTGAAACATTTTACTATTCCTTACATCTTAGTTCATTTTTTCTCAAGTTTGATTTTATTGAAATATTTTGACTCATCTGGAGGCATTTAGCTTTAATGCCTGAATGCTATATACAGTCAAGTCGACAAGTGTAAAGCTAAATGCTACAAATACTTCACAACTGGCATACAGTTAATACAGTATATCAGATATTTTACAGTTTTAATTCATATATACAATTATAATGTGTTTTATATAATACAGCAAGTTTGTAATAGCCATTTTTCATTGACTAATCAGGATGTTTATATAAACTACCATTACAAACATGTACATGGCTGTTGTAAATTCATCATGCAGGGCTCATCCTGGGGGGAAATTTTAGGGAGAAGTGACTTCCTCGCGAAAATTAGGGAGAAGGGAAACAACCCAATGTGTATGCATTAACATGCATGGCTATACATCCTTTAAATATAATATAAACACAATTAACATCACTTATAATATTTCTCCAGTTTTTTTATTAATAGTAGATTAATTAATAGTAGTATTAATTAAAAGGAGATTAATAAGTAGTAGATCTGGCAATGGCATCTAAATGTTTTTGAGCTGCAAATATGAATATAAAAAATTATTTTTGATATCTATTGATCAGCTATTTATAAGCTTTCTCAAACTATGTGTTTATATATTTTCATGTACATTTGTTGATAATGATGTGTAAGAAAAGATGTGATAAAATCAATTTCATATTTTTTCTTTCCTCACTTTTATTAGAAGATGAAGTCACCTTGGATATTATTTAATAAAATCTGTTCTAATCTGTTCTAGTAAACAGAAATTTCTTTGAACATCTTGAATGTTGTAATGTCAGATTTATATGCATATAATTATGCTTATAAAATAATTTTCAAACATCAAAGAATATGTAAAATATGTACTGCAAACATTTGTGCACATTATATTTGATCACTAAAATTACATACATTCATTTCTTATTGAAGAATTAGACTGAGAAATTGTAGAAAATTAATTTCTATTTACCTCCCTTTATTTTCATGAAATGTTAAATTCGGTAATATCTTTATAAATAATGCTTTTTAAAATTTACAAAATTGATAAATCTTAATCTGAGCGTCATATTTACGACATTAAAACAAATATGTATATTGAAACAATAAGAACTCTTCTTCTTGACAAATTTTGTTGTTATATACGTTACATTACATGATATACGACCAATAGATGTCTTGCCCACGTGAGTAAACTGTGTCAAATTTGGAATTTCTAAAAACAGAACAATGCCAAACACCCCCACTGTCCACAACATACCAATCGCAAGATTTTTGCGAAATGGTTTTCTTAAATTTTCGCGTAGGTGTATCAGAATCAGTAACTTTCTTTTAGTTTTACTGCTAGGTTTGGGCATTTCGCCCAGTAGCCATGACGTGAGCGACATAACAATTTTACAGTAAAAATTTGATGTTAACAGACTGAAATCATTCAAAACTATGATTAAGTTTTTAATCCGGTCGCTGATCATTAATGAAATTGATTATTTTTATATGACTAACAGTTTTGTGATAGCCGTGAAAAATCCATTGCACATCGCCTTTACTCGGGTTAAAAACCCACCATCGAAGTGCATCGTGTATATCAATTAGGGAAGATTGCACGTGTTTAGATAATCGGGGAAAAAACAATGTATAATTATCGCCAAATCCCGTATTAAACTCGCAAACTATCACACAATTACACCGTGTACCGTTTCGGGCCGATGCTCTCATTATTTACTGTTTAGAGTAGGCGGTCTATCGCTTCGCTTACAGGTAGAAGGGTAGTATAAAGCGACGCTCTGATTGGATAATGATAATTAGCGGTCGTCATATGGGCGGATACAATCTCTGCTCTTTACATCGCTAAGTAATTACTATTTGGAATTAAGATTTTATCGGCGATGTTGACTTCTCTTTGATCAATCGGAAGAGCGAAATTGGAATATACACGGCGAAGTTTTCGCCTGAATCGCCCTTCCGGATGAGCCCTGTCATGAAGTAATTTTATTTTGTAAAAATAATATAATATAAGTATAAAGGAAGTTTGCTGTATGAAAAATTTCTTATAAAGATTGTTGGCAGTTTATATGGCCATATAAAATAGCTATTTGCAATATATATATAGGGTCATATCACCTGTCAAAAATCGTTACAGCCTATACCTTTTCAAATAGTATATTTGAATTGTAAATAGAGGATATTGAATGAGTGTAAGTTCAATACTGAATTTATTGCACGAGTTGAATAAAATTATATTATGTGAGCCTCTCAGACTAGCATAATATTATTTATTCTGAGAGTTCAATAAATTCAGTAATGAATTTACACAAATTTAATACTCTATTTATCACATACCCAAAAATAAAGACCGTTTAAAGTGAAAAAGAACCATTATTCATTGATACCCTATAGTATAGCGCTAACATGGCGTCGTTACGCTATGTTTGTATAACGCTAATGACATCAAGTCAAAATATATGCAAAAATATAAGGCTGCTTTCCCAACCAAACTAGCTGCTTTTTTCCCTGGCAGTTTGGTCCTCAAAATTCCAGTCTTTTGAAATTTCCCATAGAAATTTAAAACAAAATTAAATGATGGTGTTGAATTAAGGTCTTTTACTGCCTTATTAGTATTTCCCAGAGCTTTTTGCTTTTCTATTTTGAAGAACTTATTAAAAGTTTGTGTTAAATTTGAGACCCCTTTTCCCAAAGTATGCCAAAATCCCCAAGAAAAAGGCTATTAAAGGTCCCTTCCCCAAAAATGGTGTTTTGGCCCTGCTTATTATTAATTTTGTCTAGAATTTGAGGTTATTGTGAATAGATATGTAAGCCTGAAACTGTGAGTATCTAATTTTACAATTTTACCCAGCAACACTTTCTATTTTGAATATGATGAATTATGATGACCCCAATTCATGAATAGGTGCTCTTTTTGGGGGTGGTTGGTTTTTTTTAGGTCACACAAACACAGTATAGGTAATATAGCAACTTGTGTGCCCCTCTGTACAAACAGGTACCTGAGCAGACCCAGAAACATTCCGTGAGCTAGCTGGATAGCTTTCTCACATTAAGAATCCTACAATGCTTGCCTGGCAGTAGAATTTCAGAAAAAACAGTCATTACATGTAATTGCAAAAAAACATCATTAGATGTGTATTATTTCTTAATTTGTAAATATAAAATTTTTACTTTTTTTTTTAAACATAGTACATTTTTCTTAAGGTTAATTTTGTTAACATATTCTAGCTAATCATCTGGAGGCATGCACATTTAAGGCATTCTACAGTACATTACTATTAATAAAATTCATTAGGTTAAAAGTTAACAGAGTAAATAAATTACTAACTGTGTGAAGATCTCTCCTAAACACTATCAAGGTAAGGAATGACACAATCAGAGCAATGGGTACTAAGCTGAACCAAGCGAACACATATCCAACAAAATCACCTGAAAACATGAAGAAAATATATTGTAAGAATTAATACAACAGCCATGTTAACATGGCTAGCCCCTGCTGCATGTGTTTGCTCATTGGAAGAATGTATATGTAGTAGAGCAGAATAGTTCAATTTTAAGGTCTTTTGGTTAGGGCTGTCATTGATGGACAATTTTGTATCGATATATCGAGAGACAAATATCAACGATACATCGACTTTAACAGTAGATACAATGAAAAACATTTAAATGTGTGTTATAAATTTGGATCATGGTGTTATGCATGCTTGTATTAGACTACAAATACTACAAACTAACAGAAAGTTTCTTTTTTCTGTTATTTTTGTCACTGACATTTGAAAACAGAGTTTAAAGTTCAAGTTAGCCTAGAAAACTGGAAAAAAGTGACTTCTCTTACTAAGCAAATTTGAGAGGTATAATTATGTATTTGGTAACAGCAATAAATAAATTCTAGCTTGTATCGATATTTGAAAATGTGTATCGAACTATCGATATTGTATCGAATGATGAATATTGATGATATTTCAATATCGCAATATTCAATGACAGCCCTACTTTTGGTAATGAAAACTGATGGCTGAAGTGATTACAGATTTGAAACCTATGTGAACTCTGATGGCTGAAAATAACAACGGGCAATAACTGAAAAATAATGCAGGACAGGTTATCATTCTTTTGTGCTGCACTCCTCCTCAATGAGATCTATCCACCTATGAAGTTTCAAGTTGATACCCCTAACACTTTTTGAGATAAGCTCCAGACAAAAAGTATGAAAAATAACAACTTTTTAGGACAATAACTCAAAAATTATAAAGGGTAGAGTTATCATTCTTGCACAGAGCATTCCACCTCAAAAGATCTATCCACCTATGAAGTTTCATGTTGACATTATGAGTTATGCTCCACTCAGGTGAAAAATTAAGTATGAAAAATAACAGAAGGCAATAACTCAAAAATTATGAAGGATAGAGTTATCATTCTTGTGCACTGCACACCTCCTGAGTGAGATCTATCCACCAATGAAGTTTTGTGTTGTCTTAAGTTAACGGTAAGGGGTATGAGGGTTAGGATTATTAACAGGTCTAGGATTTTATGATATTTACGGACAATCTGTAAATTTATGGACAATCCATATAATTTTACAGATTTTTTAATCTGTAAATTTACAGACATTAAGTAAGAAAATAGAAATAGTTGCATTAAAATTCAAAATGGCAGGTTAAAATGAATAAGGTTACATATTATATGATTAAAAACAGTATGGTAAGATTCAGAACAATTTCACTTTTAACAAAAATTTCAAAATCATCATACAAAGATGAAACTCACCCAATTACCTTTGTAAATATAAATAATCAATAAAACAACTTGTCTTAAGATGCAGATTTAAAACCAAAACAGCAAATTTCACACCGAACATCTGTAAATTTATGAATTGAAAAATCTTTAAATCTCTAGACTATCTACAAATTTATGGACAGTCCATAAATATCATGAAATCCTAGACCTGATAAAGCACTTATTTAACTGCGGGCAAATTCTAAGTGCTCCTACGTCATTTAATACGGGGAAGTCAAAGACCGGGCCCACGAAGCGGGTCCGGGCTTTGGCTTGCCCGGCTATAGACTACACGTGTATATTTAATAGGGCTGTGCATTGCCATTTTTTTCTGTAACGATACATATCACGATACTTGTTTTTCAAAACGATGCGATTCACGATATGCATTGCATACTTTGAAAAAATGCGATGCATATTGCGATTCTTATGTTGCGATGCGATACATATCACGATACTGACTTTCAGACTTAGTACATAAAATTTGGCCATTTGTTTACAGCATAATTACGAATTTAATATAAAATTATTACAATAACAAAAAATAAACTCTTTAACTTGTTGTTATAACTTGGTTTCTGATTTTGATCTTTCAACAATTTACTTTTCTGATTACCTAAGGATTAAAGGTATTGGTAATTATACCATAACAGCAAATTGATATCTACTAGTCTAACACTAAAGTCTTCTACTGTAAATATGGCAGTTTAAAAAAATCAGTCTTACAATACTTCACTAAAGATTTTTCTTGTGAAAAAATAGTAACAAGTGATTTACTAGTAGGTCAACAACTGTGAAAATAACAGTTAATCAGTTACACTCTCATTTTTCTCGAAAGATTTGTGCTCAACCCCAGAGTATTTTATTTTGAGTTTGCAAATTTTGCAAACACTCGACGTCCGGTCTTCATCATTATACAACACTGTCTGTTTGTTCCCCAAAAACTACAATGTTCCCAAAACTCGTGAATTGTATGACCAGGGAGGATTAACTATAGTTTCTCATTCTAAATATTTTGCAGTCTACAGTCATGTTTTCTCTTTGTTTGTTTTGTTGTTTTTTTTAACGGGAAAATGATGTCAACGGAAATGAAAGTATAAATACGTGACGAATATCAAATGGGAATGTTGTCATCATCACTATTTTAATCCAACATCAAGTGCGACTAAATAAAAATACAAATTCATGTTTGTTGAAAATGCATAGATCTCTAATTATTTTTTTTATTATAAACAAGTTCAAACAACACCAGCCCATTTATATGGAATTGACGAAACTTGGTTTGTTACCGTTAAATGATTGCGGACATGGGGAAACGAGATGACAACGATGATATGATAATAGTCGCGCTTGTTCATTGTTTTCATCCGAGCTATTTTTCTTTCTTCAGTCTTTCAAAAAATACGTTTGTCCTTATATTCCTGGAAGATATTGTTAGTGTATTGCAATACTTCCCGCTATATCGATACATCGGGAGGTGAAATATGTATTGCATCGCAATATATTGGAATTTGTAATTTCATTACGATGCATACATCGAGGACAAGGCAGATCGCGATGCATCGATGAATCGTTACACCTCTAATATTTAAAAGAAAATCAAATAAAAAACATTTCAAAAATATATAGAATTCTATACCTATCAATGAAATTTTCAGTGTCAGTTCTACTTGGGCGCTGCCATTTACAATCAGACCTGGGGTAATCATTAACTGTAATCATTGATTTTGTAATTGATTACATGATTACACTGTAATCATCATGTAATTGATTACCTAGCCCAAAACTGATTACATTAATTGTAATTAATCAATTACAGCTTAAATTCAGTCAGTAATTATGATTACATTTTGATTGACATTGATTACTTTCAGATTTAAAAGGAAACTATTTAAGTTCAAAGGATGCCTTTATTTTACATTATACAGTTTAACTTTTGTTTTTTAGTTATACAGTAAAAATCCTCAATTAGACTGATAAAAGTGAACATTCTTATCATTGCTTACATACTTTAAGACCATGGTCTACTTTAGTCATTTTTTATGAATAAACAATATGTTTATTTATATGTATCTACAAATACATTATAAAAGAAACTATCAAAGATGCTTTGATATTTAATCTGATAAAAGGAAAACATATTTCTGGAGAAATTTAACGTTAATTTTTACAGTATCACTCATTATATGATGTACATAAATCAAATGAAAATTTAAATTTTTAAAAAATAAATGTGCTGAAAGCAACAATGTACCACTTTAAAATTGACCTTCTCACCTAATTTCACACAATAACCCAATAACAGTTTTTCACACCTTGTGAAATCAAGTGTCATGCTAAAGAGCATTCAAGCAGATCTAACAAATTTAAGATCTAGATAGGTGTTGACTTCAATATCAGTGGTCTCAATAGTCACATTAAACTTAAAACAAAAATTTGGACTGACTTATAATGGTGGTCTTAAAAGTGAATAAGCAGGTGGTTAAATCTGGATCATGAAACCATTGACTTAAAGAATCTTTTTAAAAATGGTCTTAATAGCAGGGTGGTCTTAATTCTGGGGTGGTTTAATGTACATTCAATGTAATCAATTATCAATCAATTACTCTCTTAAAAGTAATTGTAATTCAATTGATTACAGAGGCAAATGTGAGTAATCAATCTTAATCAATTACAATAAAATCTGAAAGTAATTGTAATTTAATCAATTACTGATCAATGTAATCATCCCCAGGTCTGTTTACAATGTAACTCAATGATAAAAGGCGTGGTATTCCGATAACGGAACAAATCTCAACTTTTCGGATAAATAATAAACGTCGAGTGTTCCGAGTGAAAACGGAAGCGGTGCATGTTATACCGAATGACAATTTTAAAACGGAAAGAATGAAAGGAATTTTTTAACGACTTCCCCGTTCATAGGCTTTGCCTAATTTCATATTATGTCCCTATCAAGCAAATTAATTTAATTGTTGTATTTTACTACATGCTTTATTTATCAATCACAACATTTTTGGCAGAAAGGAAAAGTGGAATTTGGCATTAAAGGGAAAACTGGAACAAAATATATACTGAAGTACGAAAAGTTTAGGTACGAATGCAATTTATCAGAAGTATTTGTGAGAATTTGCACATTTGGTAATTGCAATAGTGGATATTTAAATATCTTGTTATAATACAAAAGAACTTACCTTTAGTATATTGTGCGTTTGTAAGAGATATTGACGTGTATTTCGACTCAATACATGGTGAATTTGTTTGGGCATATGTGGACTTCCCGTCTATGTCCTCCATCTTGGAAATGATATACACGCATGCGCACAGAATTATTTGAAACAGAAGTCTTCATTGGTAATTTCTCAAGTAAGAAGGTGTTTGATTGGTTAAAAATAAGGGAATTCCCAATTAATCGGGGATACCAAAGATGGCGACGAAGAGAGCTCATGCTTTGACATTTAAAATAATTGCAGAATGTTCTACGACAAAAGCTCGTGTTGCAGAGATGACATTACCTCACAGTGTCGTAGATACACCAGTTTTCATGCCTGTTGGGACACAGGGTACGCTCAAAGGCATTCTGCCTGACCAATTGAAAGAATTGGATTGCAAAATTATGCTAGGAAATACATACCATTTGGGAAACAGGCCGGTAAGAGCTTAATTAATGTAAGACATTTACATTTTTCTGCTATGAATTTTATGAATTTATGAATGCAAAATAACAAGATGGGGATATTTTAATCTTTAGGCTGAAAATACAACCAATTTCAATTGATGACATGGATCACCAATCTGTTAAAAAGCACAAATTTATATCACAATCACATAAAAAAATTTAATAAATCCAATCCATTATTCCATACATATACAGTCACAATTGATTTATATAATTTATAAATGGTATTTACGATGATGAATGTTACAATCCTCCGTTGATGAATGTCCCTATCCTCCGTTGATGAATGTCACTATCCTCTGTTGATCAACGAATGTTCCTATCCTCCGTTGATGAACGTTCCTATCTTCTGTTGATGAATGTCCCTATCCTCCGTTAATGAATGTCACTATCCTCTGTTGAAGGTCAAAGTCACAGCATGACCTTGCAGCAAAATCGTGTCCGGCTTATAACTTCGTTATTTGAAGTTGGATTTTACAACTATTTCACAGAAATGATCACCATATTGAGACGGACATGTCGCGCGCAGCATTTGGATCGCTACCTTGAAGGTCAAGGTCACAGCATGACCTTGCAGCAAAATCGTTTCCGGCCCATAACTTGGTTATTTGAATTAGTTTGATTTACAACTATTTCACAGAAATGATCACCATATTGTCAGAGACGATGTGTCACACGCAAAAGAGCTAGGTTCACTAACCATGGATTTTTGCCCAAGATTTTGGCAAAAAATAATTTGATGAAAAGTTCTTGTTTTTAGGTTTTATTTATAAGTTCAATCCTTAAACTGTTAAAAAGTTATGAATTTATAGACATATGTTTACATTTAGTATGATTTATTTTCTATGGAAATACCCCTATTTCCAGCAAAATTAGGAAAATTCACGTATTTTTGGTGTTTTAAACGAAAATTAAAGTATCAGCACAGTGCAGCCCCAACAAAATCATTACACCATTGTGTTGTAATGTATCAAAGGCTTCAACTATATCAATATAAAGTTGGGGCTTGCCTGTGCTCTATTCCAAAATAAGATTTTTATCTAATATCTAAACGTCATTTTCTGGCATTAATTTCAGTAAATGCAAACAATGGAGCATGTATATTGCAGTCAACATTATTAATTTTTATTCTAAGTTGTTGAAATATGATTCATAACATATATTTTAATAAATGTTTGCAGGAAAATCATTTCTAGTAAATTAAAGGCACTTTCACTAAAATTAGTACGATTATGTTTTGGTACGAGTTCGACGGTTTCCACTGTAACAGTTGTAAACAAAACTCTGGCAGGTTAAAAGAATTATATGTAAACGCTTATAAATAAATGCTGAAATTCTACTTATGCCCTAAATATTTCATTCTTAGAATTAGCAAGGTGTTGTTATGTAATTTTATTGATTCATTGAAAGAAGTTATGCTGTTCAAGCTATTTTATTGCTGAATACTTGATCTGGGTCCGGTTCTTTCGCCCTCACAAAAAAACAACAACAACAACATACAACTGTGGTCGTTTAACACACAGTGATTAAGAGGTTTTTATGTCTTTTTAAAAGGTAGATAAGAAGAATTCAATTTACTTTGTGAAAATAAAATTATCGCAAGTCTCAAAACAATTTAAAGATACTGTATATAGAGTATTTAAACTTTATAATTCCACATCGTCTGCATTGATGTATATGTAAAACTACTTGTTAAATGATGTCTTAGCATCTCGGAATGTGGCATTAGCTCAGTGGTAGCATGGGAGCCTCTCACCCAGGAGAATTGAGTTCAAAACCTTGATCATTTTTGATTCTTTTTTTTTTTTTAATTTTAATAATTAATAAAATAGATAGTGCTTTTTCAGTAAATAATATGTTATTTCATTAATGTATTTATTCCTTCAGATTTTAGGTCAGTGCTATTTCATAGTTATTAAGGTATTAAAGATTTGTTAGACATTTAATTGCTTAAAAATTCAACAAGAAGTTTCAAATCTTATTAATTTAGTATTATTCTCATTAAAAAATATTCACAAGAAATTGCCAAAGCAGGAAATATGTTAGGAGTCAACGGACAAAATGTCTTCAGTACACTTTCCCAGGATGAGAAAAATGCATGTTATTAAGCTCTAGCTGTTTCCAAGAATAAATAGACAGAAAGTCTTGACTTGTCCTTTTTTCACAATTCAAAAGGATCCTTTTATTTTGTGCACGAAATTGCAGAGCATACATGTAAGCAGCAATAACTACATGAATTGGATTATCTACACGAATGACAGCATTGATGTGTATAACTGCCTTTCTTATGGCTGGTGCACACGTAGTTTGAATGTGTTCCGATGTCTCCACCGTTACATGGTATCTCGCATATGGACACCATGAGAAGTTGTGAGACTCAGTCAGGAGTGAGAAAATGGGCTGATAATCTTGCTGATCATGTAGCGGTATTTTGAAATTGAATTCAATACAGTGTGAAAGAGAATCGTTAAAAGTAACAGTAAAAGAGACAATGCTAAATTAAATTTTTGATTGTAGGCTTCCTTATGTTAAGTGTTTAATTTACACTCATTATGTAGATGTAAGGGCATATTGGAATTATATAAACCAAATCTTTACTTAGAGTTGTTTTATGTCACATAAATTATGAATACATGTAAATAAATGTTTTATGCCCTCGAAGGATGGCATATTAAAATCGAACCGTCCGTCTGTCAGTCTGTCATTCCGTCAGTCATTCAGGCTTTATACATATAGGCAGTGGTGGTCATGTCCGCTCTGATTCAGTATGCATGAAAGGATTTTAATTTTTCTTTCATATATGAAATAACCATAGATGTATGGTGTGTCGCGAACAAGACTGGTTTCTATGACTTAGGTCCAGGTACTTGTGGGGGTTCAAACTTTGTTAATTTTGATATTAATAAAAAAAAAATAGGCAGATATGGTCGTGTCTGCTCTGAAAATAATATGCATGAAAGGATTATAGTTTTTATTTCACATATGAAATTATCATAAATGTATGATGTGTTGCCCTTAAGACCCGTGTTCCTACGCCTTAGTTTAAGGTCACTGCTGGGGTTTAAACTTTTTCAATATTTATGTTATATACATATAAATGGTGGTTGTTGTGTCCGCTCTGTAACTTCCGTATATACATGAAAGTTTCAATTTTTATTTAAAAATATAAAGTCACCATAGATGGACAATGTGTTGTGAACAAGACCTAGGTTTCTTTGTATAACTTATAGTTCACTGCTGGGGTTCAAACTTTGTCAATTTTTACCACCACACTTAACATGACTGTAATAGTTGGTTTAGAACTAGAATCCTTCAGGGGCATTTGTCACGTTCTGTGACAGCTCTTGTTTTTTCTCAGTTCTCATATCGTCATGGATCATTACATTATTGTAATAAAAATGTCTGATTTCCATAATTATAAATAACACAAATCGTTTTCTGGATTTGGCTGTATCATAATTCATAAAAGAAAATAGTATCGAATTTGCAGTTCAGTATCAAATATTACGTATACTCCGAAAGAGCATACAGTCAAACATTATTTTTACTTGACAAAAAAATTCTAACATACTTTTATATCTATAAATTTACTTAATTTAGGCGGACTTTTACACTATACATCGGAATAAGTCAACAACTCCTAGTATTTACATTATACTATTTGCTTACATGTATATAGTTACTCAGTGTAAGTTTAGTTAGGTTAGACAGAAATACCTATCTGTTTTGTGTTATTATAATATAATAATAATAATAATAATGATAATAATAATTATCATTATTATTATTATTATTATGTTCAACGTCCTTGTCTAAAGACTGACTAAAAAGGCCGTTAAAATTGCGATTGATTCTATACACCCTTATTTTAAGCGTAATGTAAGAAGTAGATGAATATAACAAGCAAATTAGACATTTATTATTAAAAAATGAACAAACTTACAGTATTTATAAAAGTAAAAATAAATACATTTAGTTAGGCGAAAAATAATATGCATGCACATTTTTATTTCTAAATATCCGAATTTGGAATATCCGAAACGAGCCCCATTTATCTTTTATATTAGTTTTGTGACACACTGGTCTAATTTTAACTAAACTTTAATTTTGTTTACAATATATAAGAAATATATTGCTATCTTTATGAGTTTAATTCAGTCAAACACACAAATTTATTAGTCTTGTATGAAAATTGCCGTCAAATTTGTGATTTAATTGAATTAAGCAGGTGCTCTAATTATGACGTCATTATGTCGTCATAGTAACCAGAAATGCCTAATAAATGTCTATTTTGAAAATGTAACACATTGTACTATACACCTTTAGGTTTTTATCAATATCTAAGATGGGGCCATTTTTGGTGCTTAGTGAACCTTGCTCTTTGGGTTGTTTTTTCACTTTTACTTTATCTGTGACATAACTCTGACACTACAAGAGGTATACCTTCCTGTGTCCAAAACCTATTTGGGGAACATCACCCGGTTCAACTGGCTCTTGTTTAGAAAGTCTCAACAAATGTTGAACAGTTTCAAACTAGCATTTTAATAAAATACTTTACATGAATTCATGGCCACCCTTGAATATATATAAATATATATATGCTAGATCAAAGTCTAGGTTACCATCACTTAGTCCATATTACTATTAGACCTGTCAAAGATAAACAAGATAATTTTGGATTGGCAATGTCTTTTTTCAACTGTTTGATAGTAGAAAATAACATTTCTGTAGCGTGTCGAACCGCTCACACCAAGTTAATTAAGCACTCAGTAGAATATTATAAGATTGATGAATCTGCAGAATAAAGAAGTAAAAACCAATAACACATCATATCCATGCACTTAAAAACCTGAGTTAATAGTAACCCCAAACTTCACCTGTAACTAACTGGTAATTGGGGACAGTCATATGGTAAAATCCATGCAAAATGCCCCAATACATTTATTATTTAATTAATTAATAGTATTAATTAAAGCTAAACTGGATTGACCAAGCCATGTAAGACTTAGCTCATTTACCCTACTGTTTTAAATACCTTACCAGAACAGCCCAGGATTTGGTTGGGGTTAAAATTTGCTGGTTCATTATTGTAAAGATACTAATAGATACTAATGAATAGCAAGTTCATGGTTAATAACTCAAGTCTTAAATAAGCACTTACTTATATTCACTTTCAAAAAAAAAAAAAATACAACATGCATACATATGATTAATGTGTTATGTTTGGATTTCTTTGAAGGGACCAGAGCTACTTGAAAAAGCGGGAGGACTTCATAAATTTATGAACTGGGACAGAAACCTACTTACTGTAAGTATTATATTTCTTAAATCATTTGGCTGAAAAAGGCACAAGCAACACAGTAATTAGGTCATATTATTAGTACAGCACTTCAGTTTTACTGGAAGATGGTTAGAACACATTATTGTCCATTTTTTTTTTGCATTTTTTCAAGCACAACTGGACATCTTCATAGCAACAGCTACCTATTCATGCTGTTTCTATGATGATGCCCAGTTGTGCTTGAAAATATATATTTTCATATTGTCATAAAAAGCATGGTGATTATTTGATAATATAGAAAATATTGTACATCAAGTCATGGCATTAATTTGAACAAAACACTACAAGACTCTTTATTTGTAGACTTGAGCTCTTCACTACTTGTTTATCTATATAAATACTGTGTATAATACATGTACAATACAAAAGTCAACTCAGCATGTACAGAGAGAGAGAGAGAGAGAGAGAGAGAGAGAGATAAATTAAATTGTGAATAACATACTTAATATAACATTTAAAACTGATACAAGTCATATATCTATATTTGTAGGACAGTGGTGGTTTCCAAATGGTGTCTCTATTAAAACTAGCAGAAATTACTGAACAAGGTGTCAAGTTCCAGTCACCGCATGATGGCTCAGAAATGATGTTGACGCCAGAAAAGTCAATTGAAATTCAAAATTCTATAGGTTGGTTTTACATCATGTACTGTCCGATGTTTTTTTGTATGCAGCAATTTATGAAATTTTGTTCTCTTTTCATAATTGCTAATGGAAACTATTTCTAATGGCCCAAAAAGTAAACAATATTTCTAATGGCGCATAAAATAAACCATACATTTAATGGCTCATAAAGTAAACCATATTTCTAATGGCATAAAGTAAACCATACATGTATATGTAATGACTCATAAAATAAACCATGTTTTGGATGAATGTTTTAGGACTCATTCTGATTATTTTTACAAATATATTTAGTACATGTAGATAGAGGATATTTGTTTGTTTTGCATGTAAGATTGAAATATAATTTCACTGAGTGAACACCAGATGCAATAGCTGGTGTTCACGAATGAAATATTTTTCAATCTTATATGTAAAACAAGTCAATTTTCTTTTTATTTCATGCTTTTTAAGTGATTTTAAGTATTTTTTACTGATTTTGGCGCGTAACGTCGCGCATTCTCCTTTGTGACGTCATCACATCATGACGTCACATCATCAATTTTGAAATATAGTTCTGTTCAATTTCTCTAATTTTGTTACATTTTTAACATGATGTATGGTGACATCAACTTTCTTTTCCTAAAAAAGCAAAATTTACGTATGACGGCATTTATTTCTGCCTGTTATTCCATTTAGTTATGATTTTCTTTTCATCCGCATTCAGATAGAGTTCGGCTACAGTGAAAATTATATTTTATAAATTTCACTAGTGGTTTATCAGAATATAATCATCTGATATATTACAATAAAACACTGGAAAGCATGAAATAATAATGCATAATAAAAATATCACTTGTAATTATAAATGCATTTTTGACATGATAAATGTCTTATCTCTGTTTACAAGATATATTTTCTAAGGGAACTGTTCTTGATGAAATAATACTGAATTGACATTTATTTAATGGATTAATCAATCAGTTTCCATTACTATAAAATATGGTATAATCAGAAATTCAACACATCGAGAAACCAATTTATTGTTACTTTACATTAAACATGCACTTTGTATCAAAGAAATTTGAT